ACTAGCTAACATCTGCAAATACGAAAAGCTGGCGCAACGTGGATGGAAAGACAGATATCCTCCGAAGTCAATCTCGCAGAATAGGTAGTGAAACAAAACAAGCTGGTCTAGGGTAGATGCCTCGCGATGACATCCTTCATTTTCGAAGCTCTTTCTTTACTTCCCGTCATTAAACAGTGGAATAGGTGTAAAACTGTAGATGAAGACTGCGTCTAGAGGGACAAGTACAGTTCCCGTACTTTGAAGTTGGTTCCTTTATAATTTCAAGCACCTCGGCTCAATTCGAGTTCCCCTCGTGTAAAAATTTAAGGATGTAAAAATAGCTCCTCACTTAGGGGTAGAATTCAGTAAGGTGGAAAGTGTGAGTCGAAAAGGAGTTGGGTTGTAAACATTGTGTTATATCAGCTAAATGATACGAAGTTGACACACCTTCCTGCTGTTGGGTGCAGCTTGGTGGGTTGGTATGAGCAAAACTGCGGATCTTGGTTTCACACACTTTAAGGTAAAATACTTCCTTGTTGTGCTGTCGACCAGAGCAATTCTCGTGGTGACCCAGCCTCTAAATAAAGACATGCTCGATTTTAAGGTCAATCAATGGGAGTCCCAGCACAAAGTCATCTTCCAGCCGATGAGTAATGAGAAGTTAAAATGACAATTACCGTTCTTCTCACTGTCAGAGGCAGCTTTTTTAAAGACACCAGTCATGTAACGAGGCGGTAAAGTCAATCATCACACAGCAGTTGGTTACCAAGATGGCGACGACGTGTCGGCGTAAAATCGACTCCAAATTAGGCGTGGTGGTCTATGAGAAATCGACCGCAATGCGAGACCGTGATGTGAGCTAAACCCCTTTTGGGACTGAGCCTCTCCTCCCCCTCCCTCACTCCCCACCGCCATGCGTGCCATAGTGCCAGTGCTGCCAACACCACAACCTCAGGAAAGGTCGTTCTATTGCGCAGCTGCCAGACAGACAAACAGACAAAAGTCATTGTTCCGCAGCGGCGTTTCTGGGGCAGATGCCCCATCAACCCGGTTCATTGGCCTAGCAACCAACCCTGATCATGTGAGACATTTTTAACTAAGGCGTTTACTTAGGGCATCTACCACGTTTATTAATTCTGTAGAATCAAAGACAAAGGTTGGAAAGAGCACTTCTGTAACGCCTAAGATATCGCAACTCGCAGTATAATTAGGTTAAAAAAGGTACTAAACCGGGTCACAAAAGTGAAGGTGGAAAGGTTGGAAGGATAAAAATATATGGGCTTGACAACATAGCTAATCTGATTGTTGGTCTTAGAAACATTACATCAGATTAAATGCGGGATCCTAAAAACACCTGAGAGGGAGATGGCTGGCTTTTTATGAACTGGGGCGGGAAGGGGAGGGGGGTAAACGTCGTGTACTTAGCGGGCTGACATCCACATGCAGGATGTAACCGTAGTAGCTAATCCCACTGTTCAAAGACCATGCAGGCCATTAAAAAAACACAATGGATGTGTAGACAGGGAGAAAGAGAGCCGGATATGTAAGAATAACTAAACTAACAGAGATGTTACTACTAGTTATCTAGAGGCCATGAATAGTGACTTTTCAACCGCCAAAAATCAGGAAAATGATCGCGTCAGCAATACAACCCTTTGAACGCACTTGCAAATCACAGACAGAATTGTGAAATTTCAATCTTTACCATATGTACCCCCCAAAGGGGATTGATTATGCAAAAGTGTTAGTAAGAAACGATTCCTTCAACTCGAAGGTGCACTAAAGCCGCAGCACTCAGATTAACTCTTCCGCTACCCAGAACTCTGAGAGGAAGATCAACTACCACAGCACAGGTGTTTCAATATTCAAGGATGACGCCGATTGACGTTAAGATTGGCAGGATGCACTGATTTAATTTAATTTAAAAGTCGTAAGCCAATGTGCAACACGTCACATATTTGTGCCGCTGGCCTCGGATGAGGAATTTCGAGGAGTCGCATACATGTGATGATGGTAGCGAACGGGTCAGGCGTTTTTAGGCAAAAAGTTTCTAAGCAAGATAATTTTACTTGCCCAGATGGCAATAATTGGCTTTCCATATAAGGTTAAGGAGCGGTGTGAATTACACCTTCAATTTAGATACTGAACGGCTTATGGAGCATGTAATAAAGCAGTTTCGGGTCATCTTCTGAACCCTAGTTTTGCGATTTGAGAAACAGAATCGAGAGACTGTGAGGTGTTAATTAATTAGTGATTTAACGCGACGCGATTAAGTGACGCAATTAGGTCCGTAGAAGAGGCACTAGAATGGCGTTTAACCTCGCAATAATTTGCTCGGTGACCGCACGTTTCAGGGGCACTGCGAATGTCCAAAAAGAATTCACCCTAACAAACACAAATACCTAAGAATTTGATCAAGAAACAGTGAAAAGTGACGTGACTGAGGCGACTAGAGTGTGTAAAAGTACGCCGAGAGGAGGGAGGAGGGGGGAGGGGAGTAAAGAAGTGGTAGAATGCGCTAAAGTGGACCAGGCCGTAAACTTGAGCAATAATTGACACTCAAATCTTCACTGTCATGACTTTATTTATGGACATATAATGTGTGTCCCAAGTGTTCTTTGGATGGAACCTAGAAGTTAGTCGAATCTCATATCGGCGTCTGGTCCCTCAGTTGCACTGTTCAAATAAGACGCCAAGTTGAAGTGAACAGCGGACCATAGACTGTTTAAGGTCAGGGATTCGGCTCACGCCGACTTACAAATCTTGTAGACGTAGGCCAACCTTCTTCATGTATTCCTACATTTTTACAGTTAGATAAGGCGTCTTCTAAACTTTTCAATTTCGCTAGTCAATAAACACTATCTTTGATCACTAGTAATCGAACTAAGGTGTTCTCTTAAGCAAGGACTCATTTTGCTTACTTATCTAGAATTTTATTTCCGATAGATACTAACAAAACTGCGCAACATTATCACTACTAGCCTTAGACAAATGTACCGCCGGACTTGATCGCCTGAGCCCTCACGTCAAAAGTACTTGACACATCTTTTTTTTAAGTTGTGACAACTGATTACACCAAAGCGTGTAATAAGCAGAGTGCCTTTATTCTGAGGGGATAATCATAGTTGCTAGTTTGTGTTGCAGTTACATTCTACAAAAGTCAACGGTGTCTTGTTATAAGAACGAGACGTCTAAGCTGCGAAGGTCGACCAACGCTTGAGGTCCCGGTGGTTAACTGGTTAATAGAAATGTTTTAATTGGGGAGGCTAATTTCTCAATCGCCCCGAACCTCTTTTAACCTTTTTTAACAATTGACTTTTCCTTAAACATATTCAAGCAGAGTATGCACGAGTCCCTCGAATTACACATCATTTCAAAGGCAAAAGAAAGAGCACCTTAGAGACTTGTTAAATAGTTATATTACTTTGAAGGAAAAAGTAAAGGCAACATTTAGCTCTGATTCGATGTCATTAATAAGTGCGTCTTAATCAGTTCGACAGCTTAGGGGCAACAGAACTGGATTTGCAATTTGAAATGATGTGCATCTTCAGCAAATGAAATATAACACAGCTCCAACGTCAAAAAAAAACAAATTCTGTGCAGTACCATGAAACCGTTTATTTTCTGATAAGAATTTCGCAGGTTCAACTAATAAGCCTAACGCTTTCACCATCAGGCTCTCCGAGTAAAATTAATCACCAAAGAGAGAAGACTTTGGAGAAGCCTCTTTTACATTGGTAGGGTTGATTTCGGTTTCCAAGGTGACCTATTGTGCCACACTAGCAGCAAGAGTAAGCTGAACCACCTAAGAGAAATGCCCATTCCATGTTCCTGAAGGCAGTGATCCATAGCCCAGTCTAAGAACATGACACCTCACCTTCATGTCGATCGATGGTAAGCATCGCCCCGTCTTTAAACATACCACGCAATGAATCCTCACTCGAAACAGTTAGCCTTGCAGCGAACGCGATGATTAGGAATTCAAGATATTTTTAGCATCGTGCACCACTACCAACGGACAGAATCCTTTCTGTGATGAATTTTTGCCGCGTATTCGTTGATTCTGTCTTCCGCTTGATTAAAAATTATAAATAGATCTCTTTTAATCCCACCGGAAGAAGGACCACCAGGAGGCTTTGCAAACAAACAAACATGTAGTACAATGATATTAGTTTAAAGGTATATTTAACAGCAACACCTCTTCGGTTTCCGTGGGTTTTAACCCCATTTGCAGAATGGACCCCGGTCATAGCAACAGTTCCTCAGTTCCTCCAAGAACTAACAATGAACTTACTCCTCTAAATTGAGGTGCTGAAATCAGCTTAAGCGCAGACTCTGAAAGATACACTGAATCCAATTTTCCAGCATGACGAAGGCCCGAAATTTATTAATTTCCACACCTAAAA